TTGTAATACTTCTAGTGTCATCCTAGACGTTCTGTGTTTCCAAAATATCCTTCTGGTTTGGATGCCGAATAGGCAGAAGAGTCTGCCAGAAGAAGAGCTTGATCTCTACCAAAACCTGTCCAAAGTAGACCACTCCTCGGTTTTATACTCTTGGTACTTCATCAATAACACACCTACTTCTGTAGAACCAAGTTTATTATTTACTTAAGCATCTTCTATAGCACTGACCATAGTTTGGTTTCTTGTTTTTTGTTGACCAGATGATCGTCAGAAAGAGTTGTATGCAATAAATTATTAATCCTATAAATTAAAGATAATATAAATAATTTTTATCTTTATTTATAAATTAAATAGAATTATTTTATAGATTATCTCTTTTTATCCAGGATATTTGTTAAATAGAATAATAAAAAAATCATATTTATAAAAATTAAGTATATATTTGGACAAGAATCTGTGCATGTACTTGGAGAGTGTGTATTGATAAAGTTAACTTAGAGAGGTTTGACTGCATAAATAATTTATATAATAGATAAAGTTTTTAATTTAAAATTTAGTGACTTTGATATTTTAACAAAATAAATTAAAATTTTATTTTAATAAATTTATAAAAATAAAAAAAATAAATATATTTTTTACATAGACTCTTACCCAATTTAATATTTAATTTTAACTAATACAAATTTAATTTAAAACACAATATGTATATAGTTATGCTGTCATAACAATGCTTTTTGATCAATAATCTAAATTTTACTATATTTTATTTATTAATAAATTAAATATTTCCTTAAAGTTAGCTCTAAGATTTAGAGCTAGATAAAATAAAGCATTGGGAAATATTTGCCAGTAAAATAGTGTTAATAAACTACTTACATTATACAGTATTTAATTATCATTGTTTTCAAGGTGATTGAAAATGGCAAATAATTTTTTTTAGTACATTTATAAACTCGTACACTTGATTACCTTAGCAAGTTGATTGAAGATTAATATACAATCAATGTGTTACAGTAATTGAGTATACAAATATATGAGTGTACAAGTGTCACTAAGAAAAAAATTTACTTATTATTTTCAAACATTTTGAAAACAACAATAAGTTTTTAATGATGAAATATTAAAAAGAAAAAAAAATTTCAATACTCTAACAATAAATTTATTTAAATATTTAGATAGATTTATATTATATACAGTCAGACCCCCCTAAATGCTACCCCCTAAGTGCACGTCCTATGAAACACCTCCCTAAATGCACGTCTTCTCTTGGGCCAAACTAATATTACATCTATAGATTTTTACCTCCCTAAATGCAACACCTCTCTAAGTGCACGCTTGACTAAATTTTTATATATGGTCCCGTCCCATTGCATTTAGAGAGGTCTGACTGTATCAACGTTAAATTACGAGATATGGTTGATGCGCGAGTTTCAGTCAGAAGCACTGCCAACAGATTCTACAGAAGCGTTCAACAGATGGTCTAGAGGTATAAACGAAGCAATAAATAGTTTAAACACAGAAGCACAAAAAAACTTAAAACAGGCTAAAGACATTGCACTTAAATTGGTGTTAATAAAGTAAGTTTCTAAAATTTCTGAAAAGTTAGTTTACATATTGCAGGTATTTATGATGGCTTGTATAAACATGAAAGTGTGGGCAACTTTTTAACTTAGTTAAATATTACACACCTTCTACTTCCTAACGGGAACGATGATGGCGTTTTTAGATGATTTATGTGTTTTTTTTCGCACACTCTACTTCCTAAAGGGAGCGAGGATAATGTTATCTTAACGTCTTGTATGCTATTATGTACCTTCTACTTCCTGATGGAAGCGATGATTGCGTTTTTTAAATGCTTTGTATGCATCTTTTGCATACACTCTACTTTCTGATGAAAGCGAGAATAGCATTATTTTGACGCTTGTGTGTTTTTTTTTTTTTATTAAGTTCAACTTTGCACTTTTCACTTTTCTTGTTTATATACTGATAAAACATATACTGCGGTTATTTCTATCTTATATTTTATAAACTTATCTAACTAAATCTATTATTTTTATATGGATAAAGCGTAATCGTTTATTCAATTCTGTCTCAAAAAAATATCAAGCCAAAACGCATAAAAAGTGAAATGTATATTCATTCATATGTGTTCTGTAATTTTAAATAATTTTTTCTCACATTCTTACACGTTACAATTGTTTATCATTTAGACCTTTATGAATTCTTGATCCGTCCAGATACTATTCTTACTTTAGTATCTTTTGTTTTTTTTGATTACGTTTTACATATGCGGCACCATAATGAGTAATCCTTATCAATTTCGCTTGAATACGATTTTGTTTGAAGCAATTATAATTTTTTTCGTTTTTGGTGTTCAATGGATTTTTATGTATTAGAGAAAAAAAGTTGATTTATTTGGAAATTAATGAGCGTGCAAAGAATATTGTTAATCAACTGAAACAAAGTGGAATGAATACTATCCAGGTATAATTTATATATTCATAATAATTAAATGTGCATAAACCATTGTTAATTACATATTTAAATTTTATTTGATTTAGGATATTAAAATACCTTTTGTTCCATCACTTACGGTTGCCAAAGTTGTACATGATGGACTTGTACAAAATTTTCCAACTTTATTGGTAGAAGGTGACATTGTAGAAATGTTGTACGACGATATTGCATCATGTAGAATGAAATTTATTTCTGATAATGTCCCAAAAGAATTTTCTGTAAAACAATTGGAGCAATCACAAGTTTTTAAACCTTCATTTTTATGGGAGATGCATATTAAAAATGAGGAAGATATCAATTTGTCCTTTTGGAAACTCCATGGGCAAATTGCTTAAGGACTGTATTGAAACAAAAGCGACACGCAACAATCATTGCAAAACAAGCTGAGGTTCTGGAGCGAGTCTTTCTTCATCAGATTATATTCGTCATACTTGGTGTGACTTTAGTAACTAATCTTTTAAGATACATATTAACTGAAGTGATAGGAAATTATAATTATGATCAAGCGTTTGAAATGTTGCCGATATATTCGATTAGTAATAATAATACCCTGACCTCTCAAATGATAAAATACGTCGTTAGCTCGTACGTAATTAAACTTATATATAACAGATAATGACGTCAAATTAATTAATAACTTTTATATAATGATGCCAAATTAATTAATAATTCAAACATCTTTCCTTTAAACATACCGATACTAAAAAAAAAAAAAAGAATTCTTTTATATTGCACACAGAATGAACAACAACGAATTAATATTGCGAAGATAGTAGTACCACCCGGTACCCAAAAGGTACATTTAATTTAAATTTACAATATAATATAATACCTATTTACATATATTTATGAATTTTTTTATATTTACAAAATAATGATAATAATGTAGGCGATAAAGTTAATTATGAAAATATAGAAGCTGGTGACGATTGTGACAATGAAAATATTGATAAAAATTATGATGATTATGATAAAAACGAAGTGAAACAAGTTCAATTATTCGGTCCCAATTTCACTTCTTTATTTATTTTGCAAGCAACTTAAGAAGATACTGCTCAAAGATTTCATTCTAATGGTTTCAATTTTAACTTTACTAACTGTAAAGTCAGTTTTTTTAGCTATTGAAAAGTTTTTTTTTTTTTTTAAATTGCTATAGCATTATAACTTTATTAATTTTTTTTTTTAACCTTCACAATGTCGCGTGAAGGTGGATTTTTATTAGGTATTTTAGATAGTATATTATTGGTTAATGAGAATATATTCTAGTCATATCTGCGCCTTTTGTAGGTTTTGGCTTCGTTAGAATGCGAAAATGGGACCAGCGATGGATTTTGAACTTTGGTGGAAAATAAGAACTATGGCTGAAGATAAGTACTAATTCCTTTATTTTATTTTATTTTATTTTTCTATTCATTTCTGTGATAATTTTTTTTCTTGTAGGCTTTGCCCTTATTAGAATGTAAAAAAAACTGGCAATGGGGTTCTGAACTTTGGCGGGCATTAATTCACGTTGGTTAACGGAAGTCTTGACTTGGTTTGGAACTGAAAACAGAATCAGAGATAAGTATTATTTTTTTTTTTTTTGGTTTGCTTCTTTTTAATTCTTTTTAGCATGTGCTAATGTTTTTTGTATCTAGCTTAGGTAAAAT